GTACTCGAGTACCAGGGTAGTACCCTGGTAATATTTACCGACAAAACCATGTGTGTAGTCGGCATTTCATTTCATTCGCTGGATTTTAATTTGGGAACAGGAACAGGATACACTGAAACGTTAACTGTTCTTGACTGGAATACCCGAATACTGTTTCACAGTCAATGACGGAATTATGCCATCCGGATACAGTAAAAGCACTGGAGTTACATTTAACGCATGACGTCTTATTCCTTGCACATTTTAGCAAATCCACTGCCGATGGTGGCGCTAGGAGCGGTACTGAAGGGTGCTAGCCGTATCTACGCGTCAAGATGAGGCGAATACGCTTGATTTGAGCTCAATTCGATCAAATCTGACTGAAGAAGGAATAAAAAAACTAAAAATACCTGTCGACTTGTCGTTCTATTGGCTACATTTGGCAATAATTTCACACAATTCTGGCGTTTGCTTCCCGAGAAACGGTACTGAGAAAAATTGTCTCCACTTTTATGCAATAGAGGAAGTACTCCCAAAATTTGGACCTTGTGCTGCTTCGCAAAATCTATTGATCAATTACGTACTGTTGTGTGTAAAGAATGTCCTGTATCACACTAATTTCAGTCACACTCGACTTTGATGTTGACTTGGTCGAAGAGTGGATTTGATTGGCTAGTTGACAAGTGATCTGGGTTTTGATTGGTCGATAGATCGTCTGCCCAATTTGGTCGTACTCTCTCAAGTGCAAAGACTCGACTAATTACGATGTACTAGTAAGTACTGTAGTACTTACTACTAGTAACTGTCATGACAAACGAGTTATTAATACTATTATAGTAGTACTTCGAAGTACACCATTTTGCAGTTAGCAAAATTGGACGATTGCCCGATATATTTGTATTTGGCCATGTGTCTGATGCTAGTATATTTATTTGGTGGTATGCCCGATATAATTAGCCATGTGCATTTAATTTGGCACACCGAGGTCGTGTGCCCGATATATTTGGCGATGTGCCCGATATAATTAACCGTGTGCCCAAGTACTTGGCGATTTGCCCGATGAAATCTGTCGTGTGCCTGATGAAATTGGAATAACTCAATTAAAAATTGAACTCACATAAAAAATGCAGTCAAACATGCAAAATATCGACTTGCTAAACACCTCTATTATCCTCGTTTTGGCATCACATGCTAACTTCCCTCATGTATTCGACGCGATTCAAACGGTTAGCAACGACCCCTATAACGTTTCCACCAAAACTGACACGACCTCGGTGTGCCAAATTCAATAGGCACATGGCTAATTATATCGACGGCCAAACATATCGGGCACACGGCCAAATTAAATAGACACATGGCGAATTATATCGGGCACACGGCCAAATATATCGGGCACACGACCAAATTAAATAGGCACATGGCTAATTAAATAGGCACATGGCTAATTAAATAGGCACATGGCTAATTATATCGGGCACATGGCTAATTATATCGGGCACATGGCTAATTATATCGGGCACATGGTCAAATATATCGGGCATTCGTCCGTAAAATAGGGGAATACAGACATTCGTTAGGTAGAAGTACTACTACTAGTGGCAGCCTCGGCGGATTCGAGCATTCGCGCAAGCAGTTCCTTGGTGATCTTGGCCGCCACCATGGCCGTGACGCCGCTGGGCGCCTCTCCAGAGATGGACATGCCGTAACTTCCAACATCTCTGGATGGATTCAGCTCCACGACGTCGCTAGCAATGACATCGCCCGCGAATGTTTGCACGAGCGAAAGGACATCCCTTGTCGACAGCCCACCGGGCTCGAAGTGACTCACGCCAGGAGCAAACGCGGGATCCAGCACGTCCAAGTCTACCGTCACGTACACAGGTCCGTCAAAGGACAGCTTTGGCGGCCACGATGATGACGAGATCGATCGCATATCGTGGGTCTCCACGGCGTACGCGGCGGCCTGGGCTCGAGTGTGCTGGGTGTGGGTGCGCACGCCTACTTGAACCAGTCGCGAACACAATCCTTCCTCGAGGATTCGCGCAAACGGAGAAGCATGCGAGTACCGATTGTTCTGGTTCAATATGTCGTATTCGTACAGGTCGCTGTGCGCGTCCAAGTGGAGGATGTTGAGGCGGGTCTCACCACGAGCACACAACGCGCGACGGACGCCTAGGGACAACGTCAGATGTGACTCGTGATGGACACACATGTGTACCTTTGACGAGGGGGTACGTGATGGAGTGGTCCCCACCGAGGGTAAGCAGTCGCTTGTCGTGCGCAATGATAGTTTGCGCCGCGGCCGACAGCGACGACATCGACGCGGACGAGGGAACGAGGTTGCCCATGTCCGTGATCAAAGCGTTGTGCATGAGGTCCACACCGCTTTCAGAGAACCCGTTGGCGCTGTCCGAGTGGAACGCGGCTCGAATGACATCCGGCGCTGCGGCGGTCCCTGTCAAGTAGGACGAGTTCGCGTCGACGTTGGCTCCAAGGATGGCGATCACGGACGAAGTAGATGGCAGGAACGAAGGGATCGCAGATATCGCCGCTCGCTTTACCCGCGGGTTCCAGAACCCACATACTGCCGCCGTCGACAGTGTCCCGCGCATGATATATTTCGTGGAATGTTGACGAAGCTAAAGTACCACATCAATAACATTAAGTGCCTGCACTTGAAGTACTCGAGATTCAATATCGGATTTTGGAGGCATTTTTATTTGATGTGACTTGAATATTAAGTATTATAGATAGTAAACCTAAAGTGCGTGAGCCTGGGCCGGTTGAACCACATGTCCACCAATGAAATCGTCGGATTCGAAATTCGAGCGAAGCCATTGGCTGTACTGCCATCTCACCATTATTATTTTCGCACGTTGACACTTGACTTCCAAGAAATAATACCATGTGCCTCTGCCGCGGGTGTCTCTGTCCGCCTCACTCGCTGCGCTTGTCGCACATCAAGCGCGAGTGGCACGACCCTCTCATCCTCACGAACCTCGTCTACGTCGCGGCGTCCGTCATCTCGTTCGCGCTAGGCCAGTACACGTGCGCGGTGTTGCAGCTCGGCGCGTCGGTGGCGTCGTCCATGTTCCATCGGCACCGCGAAACCAAGTACCTTCCGTTGGACGCGTGCATCTCTGGCAACTTGGGCCTCATTGCCCTGTACGAGCTACCCTGACCGTCGTCCTCGCGTTTCACTGTTCTCACGATATCTGTGTAGGTACTTGTCTTACCACGCGCACTTGAACGACTTGCATCATGTGCTGGGTATCAAGTTCGGCCTCGGTCTTGCGTGCGCGTTCACATTCATCTACTGCGGCATGCCTGGAGACGCCCAGTACGAACTCTGGCACAGGCACTGGCACTTTGCCTCGGGCAGCACGACGCTGGTCACATCCGTCCTCCTCAGCTTATACATCCCAGACTTTGACTACGTCTTGGTCAATGCGATCGGGCTTGGCTTTTAATCGAATACGAGCCATATAGCCACTTGTACATGGTAGATATATAGTGGGTATTGAGGGTATATAGTGGTTGCTGGAATGGTTGGATATTTCCAGCTACAAGGGAACTCCATTGTTAATCAATTCACGTGATTCTAGCTAGCTACTATACTACTCGAGTAGTAACGTTAGTATGGTTATAGTGTAGTGTACAGTTCATCATTGCAGTCGATATTACAGTATTGTACTACTGTCCGAGCTACAGTAGTTAGTATATTCCCATCGTGAAAAAGTAACTAGGTAGCAGTACATAATATACATATATAACGCAGTACGAATAGTATGAAAGTACATATTAATAAGTACTAGTATATGACACGTGCACGAGAGTTGTGCAGCAAGTTGCTGCGGTCAGGTACGTACTGTACAGTACGTACCAGTAATTAACTCCGCAGTAGTATATACAAATGTCAAAGTCCTGAAAATAGTGTGAGGTCAAATATCAAGTCTTACAGGTTCTGGTCCCCATTGGTGCAAAATACATTGGCTGGCAGGCGGCGATGGGTTCAAAATTTGGCCGAGGTCACACTACTCGAGTTAGTTTCAAGCGAAGACCCGCCCGCCGGCTAAGTTCTCCCCCTCAATCGTCACCATGCTCGTCCCGAAAAAGAACCGCATCGCCGTGTACTCGTACCTGTTCAAGGAAGGTGTGATGGTCGGCAAGAAGGACTTCTTCGCGCCCAAACACGGCGACGTGGACGTGCCCAACCTCCAAGTGATCAAGCTCTTGCAGTCGCTCCACTCGCGCGGCTACGTCAAGGAGACGTTCAACTGGCAATGGTACTACTGGTACTTGACCGCCGAAGGCATCGAGTACCTCCGTGCGTACTTGCATCTCCCCACCGAGATCGTGCCGGCCACCTTGAAGAAGCAAGCGGCCCGCCCTCAACGCCCGCAAGCGCCCACCGGCGCCGGCGGATACGGCCGTGGCAAGGACAAGAACTTGGGACCTTCGGGCGACTTCAACCCTGAATTCCGCGGCCGCAACCAAGATGGCTACCGCCGCGAAGCCCCTGCGGCGGCTGCCCTTGAACAATAAGCGTCATGCGCTGGTTGGTACAGGACACTGAAGAAGAAGGATGCGAAGAGTGTGCGTTGGTGTAGAAGACGAATATAGCGGTAGAATTTAACACCAACGATGATTGAGACACTTGACAACTACTACTAGTACTAGCTAGTACTATATGTCTGCTACCTGAACTAGATCTCGTCTATCGACCTACTACATTGACTACTTACTACTAGTACTACATTGCTATCTTAACTACTGTAGTACTAGGTATTAATAGATCTCAGTCTTATTAATAACTAGATCTCAGTTAACTACCGGTAGGCACCACCAAATGTAGCCAACCTCCATCTGCCATGTATATCCATCCTGCAGCCAACAAAGCAGTTTTATATGTGTAGGATAGATAAGACTGGTGGCAGCAACGGATATACATGGCAGATGGAGGTTGGCTACATTTGGTGGAGTTTTATATGTGTAGGATAGATAAGACTGGTGGCAGCAACCTACCGAAAAACCGTGTCACAGGGTCATCATTCCTATTCACGATGTATTATTTCCTTCCTAGTATTGAATCTGTGACACCGTTTAGATCAACAATCGCAAAGTGTGTGTGTGTTGTTTAAGTTACGAGCCAGGTCCTTGTACGTTTACTTGTAGACGCGGGGAGCGCGGAGCTTGCCGTGGTTGGGAATGTACTTTTCGTGGTTACCGTCCAACGCGAGCACGCCTTCTTGGCGGAGCTTGGCGTACACGTCACGTTCGTACTTGGTGAAGCCCCACTTCTTGGAGCCCAACACCTTTTGGCGACCAGGGAACTTGAACTTAGCACGGCGAAGAGCTTCGACGACGGAAGGGCCGAACGAGTCCTTGGAGCGCACCGAGATAATGGGTTGGCCGATGGCGACGCGGGCGGCGACACCGGTGGGCTTGCCGTAAGCGTGGCGCATACCGGTTTGCAAGCGATCGGCACCAGCGCACGACAACATCTTGTTGATACGCAACACTTGGAAAGGGTGGCAACGGATGCGCATGTGGAAGTTGTCCTTGCCGCAGAACTTGGACAAGTACCGGTTGGCGGAAATGCGAGCAGCTTCCAACGCTTCCGACGACAATTGTTCCTTTTCGTCCGACACCAAGTGCGCCACGAACGGGAAGAGATCCACGGACGCCTTCTTGTTACCGACGTCATAGATGCGGATCTTGGAGTCCGGCACACCGCGGCAGTAGCGGGACTTGATGAACGGCTTCTTGTTCTGGAAACGGTAGCACTTGGCAGGACGGCGACCCATGACTTCCTTCTCTTTGCAAATACGATTGTGACCATGTTCGTCGAAGCCAACCATCCGTAAACCTCTAGGCATGGCATACATATATTAAGTGTGACAGGTAATCGGTTCTTCACACGAATTAAAACGCCTGCAAATCAATTCGTGGATCATCTGACTTGGTCTTTGTATGGTAAAGTGCAAAAGACATCTTCTCGTGACATTTTAAATTGGACGTTGATGTTTTAAACGTTCCTTTGAACCCATCTCAAGTAGTACTAGTATTACTTGCCGTGATGTCGCATCATTCCCCATATCAAAGATCAATATGTACTATACATGTATAGTAGATCTTATACAGATCTCAAATATAACGACGATCTTACTTTACTTTATTCACTTGAAGCAAGTCATATATAGTCAATGGTTTAAAACGTTTTAAATTCACGACGTGTCTGCAACACGTCCACTACAATCCACCAATGATCGTCGAGTATTATCATTTCTCGACTATGTTTTAAAAGTATCTTGGTATTTCTATGTGGAATTATTAAAATACCACCAGCCGCTCTGGGCCAGTCATGGTGACAGGGCTTTTTCGATGGCGGCAGTATTGATTTCGAGCCAGAACCAATCTTCATCGCATCATGGGAGCCTATAAGTACATCGCTGAATTGTGGAAGCGCAAGCAATCGGACGTCCTCCGCTTCTTGCTCCGTGTCCGCGCGTGGCAATACCGCCAACTGCCGGTGGTGTACCGCCTGACCCGCCCTTCGCGCCTCGATAAGGCCCGCCGCGTCGGCTACAAGGCCAAGCAAGGGTACGTCGCCGTCCGCGTGGCCGTCCGCCGCGGTGGTCGCAAGCGCCCCAACTCCAAGGGTATCGTGTACGGTAAGCCCAAGCACCACGGTATCAACCAGTTGAAGGACGTGCGCAACTTGCGCTCCATCGCCGAAGAACGTGCCGGCGCCAAGTTCACCAACTTGCGCGTGCTCAACTCGTACTGGGTCAACCAGGACGCCACGTACAAGTACTTTGAAGTGATCTTGATCGACCACTCCCACAAGGCGATCCGCCGCGATGCCCGCATCAACTGGATCGTGAACGCCGTGCACAAGCGCCGCGAAAAGCGCGGCTTGACGTCCGCCGGTCGCCAAGCCCGTGGTCTGCGCCAACGCGGCCACAAGGCCAACAAGATCCAAGGGTCGTCGCGCCGCCAAAACTGGAAGCGCCGCAACACCACGTCGCTCCGCCGCTACCGTTAGAGCGTCGATTGAATGTCCTATGCTTTGGATATTGGCTCGTTGGGCTTGGTTGCCACTGGAGTATGGCGTGGTTTACTTACGTAATACAATGCTGTGGTGATGGCTCCTCTTGCGACTTGTTTACAGTGGTCGAAGGCATCGAGGAATATTTCTGCATATCTCAAGCCTATTTCAGTTGTACTTTGTAGGTGAACTTACATACAGTTAACTACTTACTTCCTCTGTTCCAGGTTACTACCAACATTTACTTTGAACAATCGAGACCTCACTCATAAGACATGAACGTGGACACAATAAAAAAGTTGGACCAAATCAGTTTTTATGCCATTAAACACCCAATATTCGCAAGAAAATTATGGCATATTGTTTTGAAGTATCGAGGCATCCACATGCCCAAAATCTCTAAAAATAGAATATTTCGATTTTGGCAACTTTGCTTGGAAATGTTGTGCATTTGTGTGAAGTTTGCACCAATCAACGATAGCTTGATTTGCGTTTGATTGGTGTTTATACCAATAACAATGGCTAAAGCATTTATTATAACAAAAGTAATTTGAATAAGTTATTCATGTGAGACGTCATTAAATTGAGTAGCTCCTGGGGAATAAATAGTCTAAGTATCAAGTTGCTGAATAGCCAAAAAATGGATACTGTTAATATCGATAGGAATTCTCTGGGATGATGGGCAAGAATAAGTATAAAGGTGCGTGTGGTAATAACATTTCAAAAGCAATAGTATTCCATTATATATTCTGGCAAAACGGGTAAAACCAAAAATGTCATTTTCAAAATGGAAGGTAATAAATAATAGGTCCATTTTGTAATACTATGAAATCAACGAGTAAAGAAAGCCATCCCACTTGGAATTACTATTGGATATGGGTTAAAACTCTTAAGACATGGTTCAAGTCTTATCAGATTTATTGAATTCGACCCCAAAATGGATGATATTTATGGTTCCAGACTGGCCCTACATAATATTTTGATCACCACTGGTGACGGAGGATAGTAAATACTACAGTATACGTATAGCACTTGTTAAGTTTGAATAGCATAGTCGTCGCCAACGAAGCCTTTGTCCTTCGTCATGCATAGTCCATCGTCGTTCATGACGCACACGGTGCAGTGTGTCGCTGGTGCAGCGTAGCTGCTGCCGAATCCACTTCGATCTTGATCTCATGGATGGTGTCTACACATTTCTGAATGAGCTCGACGAGGGCAACGAGCTTCGCGTCGTCTTCCACGGCACTTTTCGTGGGGACGGGGAAGGATTGGGAATGAGAGATGATGCCAGACTTGGTGGTGGCGGTGGTCCTTGTCGTCGAAGCGTCGGTGTACGACGATGTGTGCGCGAGCTCGGGCTTCCCTGCATGCGGTCGTTCTTGTGCATAGACAGAGTCGCGGACGCCCGTGGACAGACGGAAGGTCGACGAGTCGCGCGATCTGATGGCCATCATCGTGTCAAAACGTCGAATGACAACAAGAAGCACACAACAACCCACGTAAAGACGGCCTGGATCTCGCTCTTTGCAAGTTCAACAGTGGGGTCAAACGTGTATTACACCCTACAGAGCTTGGGAAAAACACACACATATCCGGGCAAAACACACACATATCCGGGCAAAACACACACATATCACGCGGAATTATCACGTTGCAGTGTGTTTTTATATTATTATTAGAATACAGTAACACACTTTTAATATTCACGTTTATGCAATACTATGTACAATACGAAGCCATTCTTCTTCCATATTCCCCCCCCGCGGGATTACACGGCCTTGGCGGTGTCTTGCACCGACCACTTCATGGGTCGCGGCACTTGGAAGTGCAGCAACACGAAGCTGGCCACGTTAAACATGGCGGCGATGACCACGAGGAGGACCACGTCGCGCATCTGGTTGGCAATGTCCATGCCAAGGGTCTTCAGGTACACCTCGCCATAGACGGGCACCGACACATACCCCGACGCGTCAAACGTGAGCAGCAAGCCACTCAGTTCATTCGTCATCATCACTTCAAACGCGTACTTAAACATGGACAGCCACTGCATCCACCCCGCTCCCGGCGACATGGTCTGGACGTTGAGGAGAAACCCGCCAAAGAGCACGTTCTGCAAGAGCACGACGGTCGCGACGAGGTTGGCGATGCCCACCGTCTTGCTGCCAATGCTCACAAAGGTACTCATGGAGCCCACGGCGACATTAAACAGCACGAGTGTGGTCGTGAAGAGCAGAAACCTGTCGAGCGGGGCATTCAAGCCCATGAGGTAGTAGAAGATGCTCGCAAAGATGATCGCCGGGAGCACGCGTAACGAAGCGAGGTCGATGCTGGCCTTGGCCACGTAGTAGCTCCACGCGCTATAGTACTTGGCGCCGGCCTCCTTGACGAACAACGGACGCTCCGCGATGAACGCGTCCATGGAGCTCAACGTGCCGAACCCAAAGAAGGTCAGCGTGAAGAAGAACGCGCCCATGCGATTCTGAAACCCCGCCAGGTTATCTTCGAGCCCCATGAAGATGAGCCCCGTGACCACGCCCAGGAACACGGAAATACCCACATGCATCACAAACAGCGACTTCTGGCGGAATGTGTTGCGCAGTGTGCGGAGGAACAGCACTTGCAGCTCCAGTACACTCGACCGATGGTTGGTCATCTCAACCAGTGGCTGCCGACTATTGTCCATCGAGCTTACCGGCAATTCCTCGGGATGGTAAGCATCATGCAGCGCCGCGATGGACGCCGCGTGTGTGGCGCAGTCCAAGATATGGTCGGCGATGTTTTCGTTAACTGGACACGGATACCCCAACGATGAAAAGTGCGTCGAGATCGTCGACGTTGGCCCCGAGTATACAATGCGGCCTAGATTCGGTAAGAAATATATATATATATATATATAGAGAAAACTACGGGTATATATGTTCAGTAAGTGGGAATATATATATATAGTCTCGTTCTAAATACAGAATTATAAAAATAATGTTACAACGATTGTAGAAAAGAATTACTTTTGAAGAAGGATGGAATCGATCAATGGACTTGTTATAAAACATAGGATTCTAAAATTAGACTCATTCTATAAAATGAACTTTCATACATATATATATATTTGGCGAAATATGAAGAGTATTTGTTGAAAACATGGAATAATATATATATATATATGGCGAAATATGAAGAGTATTTTGTTGAACGGATGAAATAAAAAAAAAACAGTGTAGTAGCAACCGTATGACGGCCTCAATCCAATGTCTTGCTGTAAATCAGATACTGATAAAAATAGAGTATTTTTTAAATCAAATGAATTAGAAATATAGAACAAGATATATACTAGTAGTATATATATATATATAGTACCTTTGGCTAGCAGCAGCACCTTATCGAGCTTGAGGAACGATTTGGTGCTGGGCTGATGCACAGACAGGATGACCATGCGGCCGCTTTTGGCCACGGTCGACAGCAACGAAATCAAACTATTAGCTGAAGCACTGTCCAGCCCAGAGGTCGGCTCGTCCAGAAACAGCATCTACCCACACATCATAAATATATATATATATCAGCCTTTCTATTCCAAACAAACAAAAAAGCAAAAAAAATATATGACCCAAACCCACCAAAAACAACGTATCTCTACCCTTCAAAACTTAAATAAAAAACGCAAAAAAACACAAAACACTCGAAATATCGTGGAAAATCACTATTCACTCGAATATATATATAAAAATGAACTCAAATATATATATAAATATTAACTCGTATATATATATATAAATATGATTTCGAATATATATATAAATATTAACTCGAATAAATATATAAATATGAACTCGAATTATATATAAATATGATTTCGAATATATATAAATATAAACTCGAATATAAATAAAAATGAACTCGAATAAATATATAAATAAATATAAACTCGCCTATATACATTTACAAACTCGAATATATAGTACCTACATGTGCTACACAGTAACAATATCAAACCCGAATATTTTCAAGTATACATGGACGTACCTGGGGCTGGGTCACGAGTTCCATGGCGATGCTGACGCGGCGGCGCTCGCCGCCCGAGATGCCGCGGATGGCGGTGGCATTTCCGATGCGCGAGTCGGCTACATGTGTTAGATGCAACTCATGTAGGACTTTTGATACAAGCTGCTGCTTGGCGTACAGCGACAGCATGGCCGGAAGCCGCAGGAATGCTGAATATTCGATGCTTTCTCGTACAGTGAGCGTGGGAAACAGACAGTCATCTTGCTGGACATATGCCGCCAGATGGCGGTAGTTGGCCGGCAGAGGCTCATGATCCAGAGAGATGGCGCCTGAGAACTGAGTATTTCCATTAGATACCCCCGCCAATGCATTCAGGAGCGTAGTTTTGCCTGATCCACTGGGCCCCATAAGCCCCAGCACTTGACCGCGGCAGATGGAGCCGCGGATGTCATGGATAAGTGTCTTGGGGGGATGGATACATGGCCCTGATCGACGGAAGATGGAAGGTAGGTTAGGTTGATCATGGGGATTCGTGGCCACGCAGCAAATGTCGGCAAATGTAAAGATATTTGCGGGGGAGTTGGGCGGCATGTGGTCGAGCGGGTCTTCCAAAGAGGATGGCGATGGCGCCGCCGCGGCCCGCACTTTGGACATGTACATGGCGTAAAAACAGCATACAAACAACCCACTGGCGCCCAGCAGAACGAGCACGACAGCAAGGGACACGATTAATGCCTTCGAGTATGTCTGGGGAGGTGGCGGCGGCGGAAGCGATGCCGAGTCGCCGCCCGCCAATTCTTCCATGACCTTGGTCTGTTCGCAGGATGACGCCGAGCACGTGCCTTCCAGCGGCAATGGTGACCCTTCAATGTTCACCTTTAACGTTGTGTCGGAGATGGCGACGAGGGACACGGGTCTAGAGACGAAGGAACGACGATGTGATGAAAGATGGAGACGGAAGAAGGGTTTTGTACTTGTTGGCGAGAGATACTTCGAACAACTGCTTTGAGATCGAAGAACACAAGTCCGTGCATGTGCACATGAGAGACGCGCACGAGACGGTGGTCCCGTTGAAGGAACACTCCTTCATGTTGCAGTCAATCGCGTGCTGCCCTTGCGGTCCCGTCGCCGATTTGTACACGGACATCGTGCATGTCTGGGCAGTTGTGTCGCAAGCCAACCCCATCGCGCCGTCGTTGAACACCGCCTGCAGTGTCTCACTCAATACACAGCTGTACGTCTTGGCCTTCATGCTCGACGAGTAAGCTAACCCCACGGCGCAGTGCGAGTTCTTGTCCAGGGCATTGCACGCGCGTTCGGTGCGGCATTGCCGGCAGTTGATGCCCAAGAAGTCCTTCACACATTCGCACTGCGCCCCATCTGCGCGTAGGATCTCGTTCGGCGCCTTGCATGTTTGTGCGGACGACGCCACAGCCATCATCGCGCCGACAACGACACCGACGACACGGAGGACACGCATCATCACCAAGTGACGCAACTGAATTTGATAAACAGATTATGTTCCTTTCAACGTAAAAACCAGCGAAATACCGGATAAAATCTTATCCGGTATAACGTCATTAAAAAGCCATAATCCTAAAATCAGTCCTGAAATGCACCATTATCCGGATAAAGCAAACGTTTTGACATCAATAGTGGAATTTAAATTAGGATCATTCCTAGTGGGTATCTTAACAGTTAACTGTAAACCCACGTTTTATCCTCCCAAGCAATGTTGTAACGTTAATAAAACGGGCTTTTCTCAAAGAAACTCCCCATTTTGAGATATTTCAATCTACCCTTGTTTAGTTGACGGTGAGACAGGACACAAACGCAATAAGTTACTGTATTACTCGGAGTATGAAGAATTAAAGGTCCTTGATACTAGTGTCTAGGGGATACTGTACGTAGTTGTAAGTCAACCAAGAACTGGACCTTGCCACGGAGTCTAACGGTGTCGCATGTGAACGTAGTATTATTTTCTTGAGAATGTCGATACTGACGTTAGTATGAAACATGCGTATTTTTATTCAAATTGCGATGGAAGTATTTATGTTTTGACGCAATATTTCCAGCAAATGTTGTTTGCCCATTTTCGAGATACTTAGCGTTAATTAACTGGAAGCATGTTGTCCGAACATGCGCAATAAAGCTATTCTATCCGCACAAGTAATGAATTATCCGGATCTGGTCTGCTGTGAATATGAAACGGCGAGCAACGATATACATGTACTCTACAGTGTAGAGTATCCAATTTTTTTCTCCAACCAGTTGGAAGACTACAGTACATATGAAGAAAATCCAGATTTGGCTTTCGCCATGTTCCATGAAGCCAAAATCCAGGATTCTGGGTTCTGAATGCGATATGTTT